AACACGGCTTTGGGCAATTTCACACCCCAGGGGTCTACCTTTAAACCTCGGAAGCTCACCCTTTTGGATAAGCGGTCGGTCAAACGCTATCTTCAACTGGTTCACTTGGGATACGAGGAGTATGACACCTTGTCCCATCTCACCAAGCTCAATCAGCGCATTGAATCTAATGGACGACAGATGTCACCCTCACTGGCATGCAAATATAACTGCCTTCACCGGCAGATGTATATGATACGGCGGCAGGCTGAGGACAATTGTCGCACTACAAGATTTTAATCGGTAGAAACCACCTGATTTCACACACACGGACCACCCATTGTAGGCTGAAGATAACCCTTAGGACCACCTACTAATCCAATTTCAAGGTCCAGAATGATTTTTCATAAGTCTCTTCTCGACTTTCATATGGTTAAAAGTCGACATTTTTACTATTCTTGCTGTGTGCAAGTCATTTTATGAAAGGGTGTTTTTTTGTCTGGTCTTTGTTCGAGGTTCCGTCTCCACGGTACATTTTTGGAAGATTGATTATAAGTCGAGGAGGATATGCCCTTCAACAGAACTGAATACATGTTATTATAGGTAACTCCCATTGGAAGGTTCCAGTGGCATGCAGCGGTCAAATTCCGTGATTTGAACGAGTTTTGCTGGAAATTACACTTAAACAGGTCTTAATTCGGTGGACAGGTCTCCAACAATTAAAATCTTGTACCTCCTCTGGCAAGGTTCCTTGGTCTCCCAAATTGCAGGGCTTCTGGGATCGGTTGAGTCTCTGGAAGCTACTCCTTAAAGGACGCAAGCGATGTCGTATGAGCTCCTGAAAGGTCCGGCGCCTGATGAAGAAGACAAGGCTGTGCACCGCGTGGAAGAAGACGACTGCTGAACTGGAAGTGGCATTGGCAGCTGAACAAAGGGCATACAAGCAAGCCAAACATCAGGCAACCCAATTAAGATGGGACTTTCTTACGGTCCAGACAACGGATGCAAAGAAGAAGAAATGGAAATCTCAGACGGCCCACGATAGATTCCTTTGGTTACGACGAATGAAGCAACGAGAGGAGGCAAGGCGCCGTCGTTGCGCCCAACAAAAAGGATTTACAGGGGGTTTACGGGCTATTCAGATTGAAGAACAATTACCAGACGGCACTTCGCAGCTGCGTACTATCACCGACCGTGCTCTGGTGGAAGAAGGTTGTATGCAAGAAAACGCGGCACGGTACGAC